CCATTCTCCTTCCAGCCTGTAGTTGTGCTTGTGATTGCAATTTGTTATACTGAGTTTAGCCTTTATACCTTTTTTAAAGGATTTTTTTTTTCATTATCATGGAACTAGTTTCAACTCTTTTCTCTGTGCTGTTGAGGATTTTAAAAAATATCTTCTAAAAATGAGAGCAAAGGATTTCTAAAGTTTTATGGGCATTGACAATTTAGTTACCTGACATAAGGTGCTTCGAGATTTATTTTTTTACCTTGAATCTCTTCATGTAATGTAACTTACTGCATGTTTGTATCCAGTGGTGTAAAACGCTCAGAACTTTTGCCTAATAGTTGCAATTTGTTGACAAACCCGTATTTTCATTAAGACAGTACTTTACAAGAGCATTTATGCAAAACAGGAAATGTATTCAGATAGCTATTGAAAAGTTGCATGTATGAAGTAAGGAAAATGCGTGTTTTTTGTAAAGAAGAATGCTTGGAGTGAAGACAGTATGGAATACTTCTGACCAAATGGTTTCTCATCGTAATCCGAGATACACGTTTCTACAGTACTTAAAATGTGTAAAAATGAGAACTTCATTTCTTGGAGTGAATTTTAGGTCAGAAACAACAAACTAGGACATAATTTGAAGAACATACTTACGAAACGCACACAATGTTTTTATGGGATTAGACTCATTTTAAGGCAGATCAGTGTAGTGGTCTCATGCTTAGAGGTATAAACACATTACATTCTCTTGCCGCTTATTGTCATTGTACCTGCCCAGAAAAAGGGTTATAGTTATTTATTGGAAACTTTTCTTACTATCATAAGATAATGTTTGACAGATGCTGTCAAACCCAGTGCATTTATGTAATTCTAAATTCATAGAAACATTGAGTAAATAGGGCAATCAGCTGGAGGACAGGCAAACTTTGTAGCATTTGGTTGCGTAAGGAATGCCTGGGAGGATGTATTACATATTTATATGAAAGTAGCTCTTGAACAAATACTTCTTCTCTACCCATTTGACAACAGTTAGGTAGGTGCAGTGGATGTGACTGAGATACTAATAAAGGAGCACCGAAAATGATACTTGTAAGTGGTGCGTTTATTTAGGTTAGGTTACTGAAATTCCTGCCTGTCAATATGAGGCAAAAGAGTGTTTGAAGTGCTTTGTATTTACAAAGTGGAAGGACTGCATTGCTAATTTTTTATGCACCACGAGTTTAAATCATGTATTACAAATTGCTCTGCCTAGCCACTAGAATTTAGTTACCTTCTCATCCCAGTTTGATCCTCTCATTTTACTGACAGTCTGAAACTGTGATGGTTTGTCTATATATAGTTTGGAAAACTTGTTTGGCAATTGAACCATGTATTAGCTCATTGGTTGTTGGTAGGAGCTCTTGCTGTTTAGCAAGTCCATCTTGGTTTTGTGTGGTTTTGATTATTTTCAAGGTTCACCTAGTAGGTGATAGAAATTTACTTACTGGAAATTTATTTCATTGTAGGATAAATCTGAGGACAAGAAAGTTCAATCAAAGGGGAAAAAGGGGCCTAAAGGAAAACAGACAGAAGAGGCAAACCAAGAACAGACAAAGGACAACTTGCCTGCAGAAAACGGGGAAGCTAAAAGTGAAGAGGTAAAGCTGTCTGTATTCTTTGGTGCAAAGTTGCTGGATAACTTACTGTACTGGTTTATCCAAATATCTATAAGAAACATACACAGTTCTTACAACAGAACTTATTTCTGCCAAAAGAAAGATGTAGGCTATTAAAACATCAGTAGATATGCCTGGAAAATTCTGGATGCCCCAATAAGAGTTGCAGTGATGTGATAACAGTCCCTGAAATTAAGGAAAAAGGTGAGTTTTACCAAAGTTCTGATACAGGATGATGTCGTTCAGTGAGGGTCTGTTTTTCCTGCGGGTAGATCTTGGCAAAATAGTACGTACAGGGTGTGCAGAGGGGATATTGCTCTCTGTGTGTGCATGGAGGGGTGTCTGTCTTCAGAGGGTTTGGTTTGGGTTGGGTTTTAGTCTGCCTTTGCTGTTACTGGAAGAAAGGTTCGTTCTTGCTACAAAAGTTTTTTGGCAAATGCAATATTTATTTTCTTGGGACTGGAAACAGTTTTTACTGAAAACCCGAGTTGAAATGATTTAACCGAAGTTGAGATAACGTTTATAGGGGTCATAGATGCAGACACTGCTGGTAGAAGGAACGGGTTGGTGCAGGGATGGAAGAGAAAGTGCAAGAACCACTAGTAGTTGTTGTTGCTGAAGAAATGAACGTGCCAGATCAGTCTTGGCTGTAATACTGTGCTAAAATGGCCTTGTTGCTGAAGTTTTTGGAGTCACTGATCATCTACCTTAAAACATCCTCCACGCTCCATTCTTTTTCTGGAATGTGGGTATAATTTAGTTTTAAATTTAGGACAAGATCTGTAGGGAGAAGTGGTGCCTCTTACTAGGGCAGCTGTTAACAACTGGCTGAAACACAAGTTTTCATGTGGTAACAGGCCTAGAATTAGTCTCAGGTTTCTGTAATATTGAATGCCTACTTTAATTAGTTCAGTGGAGTTTGCTGATCAGATAGTCAGGTGATTTTTTTTTTTAATTTAAATGTGTGATTCATGCTTGCTGTCTGGTTGTTGCATTGAAAAAAGTAAGGGGTTTTTTAGATAGAATTCACACAGACTTCTTTTTTCCTATCACGTTGATCTGTCAGTGTGTGGATAGATCTTCAAGTACGGGAAAAGAGTATTTGGTTTTTAGGTAGATGATGGGTGAGGAAGCTACAGGATGATACTTGAGTGTACAGGACAACTTACTTTGGGGTAACAGTTTTTCATTTGCAAGCTTACAGTGTGATCTTTGTGAAGAAGTTGTGCTATAACTAGGAATTCTTCAATTGGCTTAACTGTCTGCGTAGCTCTGGCTATTACTATCACATAATGTGGTCTTTTAATTTGTGTGTGTAGTATTTCAGCCATACCAGCAAAAGTTAAATTTGGCAGTATTTCTGAACTGAGATCTATTTAGCATGCTAGTGCAGAGACAACGTAAATTTACGAGGACTGGGTGATGACTTCTGGGGCACACCTTCATGCTGGGCACATCTTCACGTTGGTCACACCAGCCAAAATGGCAGGTTTAATATACTACCTAAGTCTAGCAGCAGCTGAGGTATAGTCTGTCCTGTTGGACGTTCCTGTTTTCCATGAGGACGATAGTGTCAGCGATGCTATTGTTAATCCACGACATGGGGAAGAGCCAGTGACAACTTCTGGTGACGCTCGCAGAGACTGATGGCTGCAAATGAAAATGGCTGCAGTACTTGGTCCTGCAAAAGCTTCCCCCAGGTGGCAGTAAAGTCTGATGGTGTCAGGGTTCCTCTTTGGGTACTACTGTCATTAAACAATCTATTCTGCAAAGCTTTGGAATAACTAAGTGTAATTTTTATGTTAATACGTATGCTACATTCCTTTTTTTAACCTACATTGCAAATGCAGTGAGTTTTCCAATCTAAATGAAGTTGTAATTTTAATTGATTGAGTTTGTGTGAACTTGTTCTGAAGTTGAGGTACGGCATATAGAGACTTGATTTGAAACCAGTATAGCTCTGCTGGTACAGTTCCGTTTCACTTAATATATTTTTACAAAATTATGTTTAATGCAGTACTGTGTTTCTAAGTCTTAGTTACTTTAAAACATGGTAAGATTATGTTACTAGTGCTGCAATGAAATTGAAATGCCTGAAGTGTATCTCTAGTGTCTTTTCTAAAAAAAAAACACCCTATGTGAAGGGATTTTTAGCTTAGTAGGTTAAAAGCCCCCTTTTCGTGTCTTAAAGGCAGTAATTATTGTAATGGGCTTTGTTCTTTTTAAAAAATAAAAATCCTTTGCAGTGTGTATTGAGTAGTAACAATAGCAACATTCTGAAATTCACGGGGATGCATATGAGGAGATAGAAGCCTTTTCAAGACAGCTTGGTTTTAGTAGGTGATTATCCAAGAGAAATAAGCAGATCATGACACCAATTTATTAAGACTAAAGCACAGTATGTAGAAACAAGTCATAGTTATTCGGTATGTCAAGATAACTAACTTGTGCATTAAAAATACTATGAATTAAGAGGCTGATTCACGTAGAGACTTTCTGCATTGAAGTGTTCTGCTTTTTTTTTTTGTCATCTTTTCAGACCCCAGCATCTGATGCAGCAGTCGAGAAAGAAGCTAAGTCTGAGTAATGTCTGGTACTGAGTCTTTGATTGGTGGTCCTTATATCTTTCTTCTTGTACAATTCAGAGGAATATTTTTATCAACTATTTTGTAAATGCAAGTTTTTTAGTAGTTCTAGAAAACACATTTTTAAAAAGGAGAGAATCCCAACTCAACCCATTTTTTTACATATTTAGATAAGTGTAAATGCTTTTTTTAAGTGGTAAAATCATGTACTGGTTGTCTGTTTTCTATGAAACCAGAAATTAATGGCATGTTACATTAAGGAGAGGGCTTTGAAGCCTTGACTTGGCTTCACGTGCTGTAGACTGTGAGGGACAGTTTTTCTATCCTTTTAAATGAAGCATAACACAGATCAGACTTTGGAAATCCATAATGACATGTTAAGAATGTCTTTATCTTAGTTATTTATCTTTATCTATGGTTGTATCATCAGTAGTATTGCTTATCTAATAAAACTGCTCCCTAGTGTTGGATTTCTTGCTGAGTGATGTTTTATGTGTGACAGAGTTATTTTTGGTAGTTGCAGCTTTATTTTTTCCAACAATTTTGTAGCTGTGATGCGAAAGATTGGAAACTTTTATTACATCTTTAAATACTGACTACGTAAAAGTTTCTGCTTGGCAGATGTAACTTGTTATGTCAGTATTTGAGATACTGGAACTTCACATCAAGTTTTAAAGGACAGCTTGTCTACAAAGATCAAATGAAAAATATTTGAAATAGTCATAGGAAAAAAACAACAATTGTAGGTTTTTAAATCTAAAACTATATGAGTAAAAACAATTGTAGAATTGTTCATAGTGTCTGTGATCACCAAGCAAAAGCCAAATAAATCTTGATTATGAAAGGATGTTTCTGTAGCTTCTGCATTGACTATGACAACTCACAATCTAAGTGGTGCAGTTTTTGATTCTTAACACTGTTCTTAATTTTGTTAAAAATGTGCTTTTCAAGAGATAGGTGGTAATGCAGGGACTAGCAAGTGGGAAACTGTAGTTGCAGTCTTAAGCTGGAGTTCCAGTTTGAAAGCTGATAGCCTAGTGCTGCTTCTATGACCTTAAAAAAAAAATTAGTAAGCATCAGATGTTTTCATCTGTTCGGCATCTCAGCGTTTGCATATGCGCTCATGTGTAAATAACTGCTTTAAGGAAGATGCGCAAAGCAATCCTCTCTAACATTAACTGATCAGATGGTGTTGCTGTTGTGTTGGAACCATATTGGAATTTCCCCAAATCCTGCCCTGGAAATCAATAAAGCCTCAGATGTCTGGGGAAAAATGAACCTGGGCTGCCAACTTCCCCAGGTAGCTGAGTGTATATAACAGAACCCAGAGAGTACGAGCTGTGGAGCAGCCTGGGCACGAGCAGGGAGGGAAGCACAAGAAAAGTTCCCTTTTGGTGCCAATGGGCCGTTAGGTGAGGTTACTGTGCTGTGAGCAAGTGTAACCCCTATATAAAGTTGCAGGTTGACAGAGCGTTGTTTCAAATAAAACATAACCTGTGCTGAGAGTCAATTCATGTAGCGCAAAACTGTGCCGATTCTTCCTTGCTCTGTTTGAGAAAGCTAAACCCATCTTGTTGAAAATTTAACATCCTTTCATCAGAAGGGGGCACATTATATATTACTTAATCTTAAAATAAGAAATCAAATCTAGTACAGCATTACTTCAGTTCTCCCACAGAGTGCAGGGTTGTTTTGGGTTTGTTTTCCCCATTTCACGTTATTTTACTGTATTGCAGCAGGTAGTAGCATGGTTTTCTCTTACCAGTCTATTTGATGCCAGTCAACCACTGTTAGCCTTCACTTGGGAGGAGTCAAGATCAAAAAGTAACATTCTTGCTTTGTTTCTTCTTTTTTTCCCCTTGACCTAGAACTTGTTTATGCTTTTAAGCAACACCTGCAAGCACAGTATCTGCTTCCTGTACAGTCTTGGTGCCTTCTTCAAATTGTCATACAGTTACTTCTAAAAAACACTTTGTTTTCACCTCTAACTTACTTTCTTTAACAGTGCTTTCATTCGAGAAAGCATTTTACCATTTTTACCTCTTCACTATTTAAGCAATGTTTAACTTTTCTTTAGCTTACATACAGGATGTCCTCCAACGCTGGGCCACGATACGCCTCTGGTCCAGTTCCACCACAACTGCGTTCTGAGCAGAGTGCACCTGGCTTTGGCAGTGGCGTTGGCTTCAATTCTCAGATATTCCAAAACTGTAAATTTATGCCACTTTTACCCCCTCCCCCACCTCCAGTTACCTTATTTGTTGGTTTAATTTAGTAGTAGCATGACATTCTTTACTTTGTGTTTTTAGCAAGTCAGACACACTAGTTAAATGACTAATAAACTTGCAGGTAAATACCCCGAAATAACCTCTTCCATCCTTTTAGTGAATGCCTACTTTTCATGTGTTTTGAGTCTCTGACGTTGAGATCATGTTGACTGTCAACATCATCTCTCTAACATCTATTATGCACTGTTTAATTTATTGTAACTGCTCCCTAATATTTACTCTTGGGGACAAAAATTTCTTTCTTACTTTATGGTGGAAGTGAAAGGATGCAATGAGGGTAAATCAGTGACAGCGTCTCTCTCGCAGGAGAGGAATTTCCGTGCTGGCAGAAGGAAGGGACTGAGGTAGTTGCATTGGGAGCACAGGAGCCCTACATCTGTTTTGAGCGGCATAGCCTGCTTGATGCAGTCCAGAATGAAATGGGCTTTCCTGACTGCGAAAAGAGTGCCCACTACATACCGCGGTGAATCTGCTATGAGTTCTGATGGATTCTGCGGTTGATGGGGTTGCCTTTCACAACTCTGAATGTGTGATTCTCCAGGGCTGATGCATGTAGGTAACGGGCGTGAAAAGATTCTCTTAATTAATGTAAAGATACCTACTGTTTGGGCACCCTTTGAGAAGAGGGGGGAAAAAACCACCCCAAGCTCTCAAAGCAGGATTCTCCAGCCACCATAAGCAGCTCACTTGAGAAAGAAATGTAACTTCAAGCTTAAATGTGTTACCCCATAAAGAATAAGGTTATATAAATGACAGATACTATTGCCCTTCTCCGCATAGCATGAACTGCCAACGTGGAAAAAACCCACCACTTTGGCTACTGGGGGAATGAGGAATTGTATACATTGGCACTAGCTGTCAATTCTGCCTGTGGAGAATTGCCTTGGAAGGCATTTAAATTTGTCTGACAAGAACTGCAACGGACATGTTTCAGAAAAAGCATTCTTTCCTGTACGATACCAGATCTATATTTGCTCTGAGCAACTAAGGAATGGAGCGATGGCTAATGAAGATTTGCACGCAGCACCACAGAACGCATACCTAATGGAGAACCAGCCATCTCAAAATACAACATGAAGAGAACAAGTTTCTTTGAAGTTACTCAATCGTATTTGTGTGCTACTAGTTGTTCTGGTTAAGAGAGCGCTGGTGCATACATGTTTACGCTGCACCACTCTGGAATTAATTTTCTAGCGTCAACTAGATCACAGCTCTTGAAAACAAACACAGCCAGGACGTTGAAGTGCATCCAAGTTTAGCTAACGAACGCTGATTTGTTTGGCAATCAAATCCAGAGGAATGCAGGTGGCCTTTTAGAATGATGGGACTGAAGCTTGCAGCAATACAGGAAGCAGAAAACTGTGGCTCTCTCTTAAAAACAGGGTACCTATTTTTTCCCTTGTATCTGAACTGTGATGCAGGAGCGACTAGCCAGGCAGGAGGTGGTGAAGAGTGGGAAGCAGAGGCAGCAGGCGCCCTTCCAGGACGTGTCTGGGGAAACTGCCTGCTGCTGGGTCTGCACCTCAGGTGCAGAAAAGCTCCTTGTCAAAAGCTGAAATTACAATTCACGCCGGGCAGAGATGAGAAACAACTGTACGAAGGGGAAAAAAAATAAAATCCCCCTGCCCCCCAAACAGGAGGTGGGGCTGGCACCTGTTTGCAGAGGCAGTGCAGGGCACTAGGGCAAAGCTGCCAGCTTTGGGAAGGTGATGCCGGCAAAATGCCTTCCTCGAGAGGGGTGGGAAAATACCCCTCGCTGAACTGAGGTTTGGGGTAGCTGAGGTGCCCCCGCGCATCGCACCACGGAGCCCCGGTGTCACGGGAGGACACCTGAG